TAAGTGACAAGAGACTTATACCAGTAAGTGGAGTGCTTTAACACATATAGGATGTTTCTCAAAGACAAAAAATTTGGAGAAGCAGACCAATTTTTTTGTCTTTGAGAAACATCCTATACCGACGGAGACGGGCGGTGCTACCCAATATAAGCACACAAGTCAAAATACGGAGCCAGTGTTCTTATATACAGGCTCCAAAATATGTGAGTGTTCCATTTATTAAGACACCATCACTTCAATTTTAATACAATTTTATTGTCTTAAAACCATCTGCACTATATTGTATCTTTTATATTTCTCTTTTGACATGTACCCTATATTTTAATACTGAATGAGAAACCAGTTGGTAAGCTATATGTGTTAAAGCGCTCCACCTACTGGTATAAGTCTCTTGTCACTTACACCGCACTAATAATTTTTCAGTTTGTTTTGTGGAATAGAGGATACTTCCACATAAGTGCAGTGGCGTCGCTAGGGGGGGGCCAGAGGGGGCCATGGCCCCCCCTACATCATGCTGTGCCCCCCCTTGGGCCCCCCCAAATGCCGGCAACTTGCTGGCCATGGGCTTCCCTCGGACTGTAACAGCCTGTTACAGCCCGAGGGAATGCAGTGCTGAGGGGCTGGGGGCTGTCTGTGGCTGGAGGGAGCACTGATTGGCTCCCCGGCACAGGCTCCGCCCCCAAACGAAGCCCCGCCTCCCGCCGGTAAGCCCCGCCCCCGCCGTTATGCAGCAGCCCATGCTGCTGCTGAAGATGGCTGCCTGACCCCCACAGGTGACAGGTAGGCTGGGGGCAGTACACACACACATTGCCCCCATACACACACACTGCCCCCATACAGCCTCCCATACACACACACACTGCCCCCATACAGCCTCCCATACACACACACTGTCCCCCATACACACACATTGCCCCACACACTCCCCCATACACATACACTCTACACACATACACTATCCCCATACACACACACTGTATGGACTCAGCAGTCTGTGTGTGTGTGTGTATGGACTCCGCAGTCTGTGTGTGTGTGTGTGTGTATGGACTCAGCAGTGTGTGTGTATGGACTCAGCAGTCTGTGTGTGTGTGTGTATGGACTCAGCAGTCTGTGTGTGTATGGACTCAGCAGTCTGTGTGTGTATGGACTCAGCAATCTGTGTGTGTGTGGACTCAGCAGAGTGCGTGTGTTTGTGTACTCAGCAGTCTTTGTGTGTTTGTGTACTCAGCAGTCTTTGTGTGTGTGTGGACTCAGCAGTCTTTGTGTGTGTGTGGACTCAGCAGTCTTTGTGTGTGTGTGTGGACTCAGCAGTCTGTGTGTGTGTATGGACTCAGCAGTCTGTGTGTGTGTATGGACTCAGCAGAGTCTGTGTGTGTGTATGGACTCAGCAGAGTCTGTGTGTGTATGGACTCAGCAGTCTGTGTGTGTTTGTGTGTATGGACTCAGCAGAGTGTGTGTGTTTGTGTGTGTGTATGGACTCAAGCAGTCTGTGTGTGTTTGTGTGTATGGACTCAGCAGAGTGTGTGTGTTTGTGTGTATGGACTCAGCAGAGTGTGTGTGTGTGTGTGTGTGTGTATGGACTCAGCAGTCTGTGTGTGTTTTTCGGATCACAGCAGAGTCTGTGTGTGTGTGTATGGACTCAGCAGTCTGTGTGTGTGTGTGTATGGACTCAGCAGTCTGTGTGTGTGTGTGTGTGTATGGACTCAGCAGTGTGTGTGTATGGACTCAGCAGTCTGTTTGTGTTTGTGTATGGACTCAGCAGAGTGTGTGTGCGTGTGTATGGACTCAGCAGAGTCTGTGTGTGTGTATGGACTCAGCAATCTGTGTGTGTGTGTGTGTGTGTATGGACTCAGCAATCTGTGTGTGTGTGTATGGACTCAGCAATCTGTGTGTGTGTGTGTGTGTATGGACTCAGCAGTGTGTGTGTGTATGGACTCAGCAGTGTGTGTATGGACTCAGCAGTCTGTGTGTGTGTGTGTATGGACTCAGCAGTGTGTGTGTGTGTATGGACTCCGCAGTCTATCAATAATTAAAATTCCTGTGAGTTGTTGTGTAGGAAGGGCCCCAGTGTATTGCTTTGCCCAGGGGCCCTTAACTCTGTTAAAATGGTGCTGCTTGTGTGTGTCAGTGAGCTTCTATTTAGTGAGCATGTGTGTGTCAGTGAGCTTCTATTTAGTGAGCATGTGTGTGTCAGTGAGCTTGTCTTTAGTGAGCTTGTGTGTGTGTCCCTGAACTTCTTTGTAGTGAGCCTTCTGTTTATACAAGTGAGTGTCTGTAGTAAGCTTGTGTGTGAGTCAGAGAGTTTTGTCTGTCAGTAAGCCTGTTTGCGCATGTCAGTGAGCTTGTGTGCTTACTGTACTATATATATATATATATATATATATATATATATATTGACTTGTAGGAATGGCATACGTTTTTTTCCAGGGCTGCTTTGGATTCCCAGGGATTCCCAGTTTGGCTCTGCCAGCGAGTGCACTTTACCGCTGAATAATCTGTGTGAGCTGCCGCACACTTTAGCCCTGTTACACGCTTCTGGGAGCTGCTGTTGACAGGTACTAGTAGTCTAGAGATTGGGGTATATGCTCAGCTATCTGTATAATACAGATCTGTGTGTATAAAATATCCCGGGATAGTCAGTGCTTCCTGTATAGTGCTGCTCTCTGTCTTGGGATTATACAGAGAGCAGCACTATACAGGGAGCACTGAGTGTCCCAATTTATTATACACACAACCCTGTATTATACAGAGCACTGTCTGTCCAGGGATATTATACCCAGACAGTAATTAATAGCTGTGCTGCAAAATGTCCTTGGAATTTTTTTTTCAAATGTTGGCAACTATGGCACTGTATCAAGGGTAATGTGTTTGTTTTTTTAATAATCCCTGGTGGAAAATCATGATTCCTCCACCAGGTATTATTAAAAAAACAAAACACATTGTGTCGGGGGCGTGGCTTAACATGTGACAGGGGCGGGGTCAAACTGCGGCGAGGGCGGGGTTAAATGTGCCCCCCTACTTTTGTCACTGGCCCTCCATGTGCCCCCCCGAAAAATGAATCCTAGAGACGCCACTGTATATGACGTGGTCTGTTAAGCAGGAAATATAATGTGCAATAGTATATCTCTTGCTAGAATGTGGATGTACAAATGAGGAACCAGCCAACATGTGTCCACATGTGACACAACTCGTGCAGCGAAAACATCCCTTCCTCTCAGAAACCTTAGGGAATAACTTGTCCCGTGGTATATCTGTTTTCACCAGTAAGTCTTTCAAACTCTTATTCCTAACAGGATATTCTGGGAGGTATAGAAAAAAATCAAACTCAATGTTTTTTTTCTGTTGATAATTTTGCCCATCGTTTCTTAATACACTTTATGATGTTCCCACTTGCTGAATGAAACGTCATTGGGATCGTAATTTGAGTGTTCTTTGTACGGGTGGAGCCTTTTAAAAAAATTTCATAGGCTCGTTCAAGGGTTTTCTTCAATGTTTGTTTGTGGTATCCCCTTTCCAAAAAGACTTTACGCATCGTCTCTATTTGTAAGTCTCGTTTCACGTCATCCAAATTGTTCCTCAGTACTCTAAGAAACTGAGAAACTGGTGAGGAATTCTTCAGCGCGGGGGGATTACAGCTGGTTGAATACAATAAGGTATTCCGGTCCGAAGGTTCCTTATACAAAGTGAAGCCAATCTTACCAATCAATCTACATATCTCCACATCGAGGAATTTAATCTTTTCTTCATCATAATTTAAATTTAGGATTATAGGAGATCCTCCATCATTTAGTTCATCAATCATTGAGGTGAGTTCACCTTCAGATCCAGACCAAATAATAAAAATATCGCCCACTGTGGTATGTAATGATATGCGAACCGTAGTGGTTGAGAATATTGGACCTTTTAAAAATATGCATAAAGCAATAGGCATAGGATGGTGCTACAGCCAATCCCATCGCCGTCCCCCTTTGCTGAATATAGATATTCTTCTCAAATCTAAAGTAATTGTGATACAATAAAAATTCAAGGCATTCAGTTAAGAACTCTATGGGTGGACCCTGTACTTA